GTGAACGCTCGCCCCGACTTCTGTGCTGGAACTCCACCAAACAATCACAGCAGCGTACATACGATGCGTTCTTTAGGGATGTACAGGTCATAGACATTTTTCATTTGCCTTTCCATTATTTTGTTTAATTGGGAATAGTATGCATTACATTTAAACTACACGTTCTCCCCTATTTCTACAGCTGCACGTGCACGCGACACTGCGTCCCACAGAGGCCGAGTGTGATCTGCCATACATTGCCAGTTTGGTGCCGTTCCCCGACCGTCCAGTGCAATTTTTGGATGACCTCGCTAGGAGGGTTGTCAGCCCACAGTTCCATGAGGCCGCACCAGCTAGTGAGGGAGATGACGATAGTGATGCGGGTGACGGGCATGATGACGAGTCCGGTGCAGGGGTCGAGGACGTTGACACATCCGCGAGCGATGGCCATCACACACCGAAGGGTAACGGGGAGGATGGGGCTGAGCCTGATGACAATGGAGAAAGCGGTGGCGACCACTCCAGCGAGACCGGTGGTAATGATAGCGAGAACGAAGTGGATGCCTCGGGACGGCAGTCGGGTACATTATCCACTCCAGTGGTTGCCCCGTCGACATATGGGGTTCAGGGTACGCGTGGTGGAGCGACTATGACGAGGGAGGATGTGGGGGGCATGTTGTATGACCAACGCATCCTCTTCGAGATGAGGTTGCGGACCGTGAAACTTGAAATCATGCAACACGTCACCGAGGAGTTCGCCAGACTGAGGGACTTCATATCTACCTTGGTGCCCCCGTCTAGTGGCACCTCCACTTCCGCTGCAGCTCCGATAGTGAATGAGCCAAACCTTTCGGACGACCCGCATGAAGGTATGAGTTTATCTTACTGTTACTTCCATTTACAACATGTGTGCAATTTTTCGTATGCATTTGCTTACAAATGTATTTTTGAAATTGCCAAATTACTTAGATGTACATGGAGGCGACATGGACATGTGCCCGGATGACGGTGGCCGTCCTTCCCCTATCTGGAACTTGGACGCGAATGGTATGTCCATTAGTTCTATGTAACACATTTTTGGTCTTCAATGTCATGTCATCTCGTGATATGCTAGTCTATTGTATTTGACTATAATAATAAATTTTTTTTTAGTTTCAAAGTAGACGGGCAAGGCAGCGACGTACGGAGCCCGCATGATGACGTCCGTGCTGACGACGCCGAAATGCAGGAGGGGAACGGTACGTACGTAAATTTTGTATTTTATGCCATGTCATCTCCTGATATCATAGTTGTCATATTTTATTCGCCTGTACTTACTGTCTTCAATTTCAGTCGTTCTATAATTTCTTATTTCGTCATACGCATATGTATTCAATTTCACTCGTTCATTCATTTGTTCTCTGTCTTCCAACTAGACGGGGAAGGTGGAGATGAACAGACCCCAAAGGACGACGACCATACGGAGGATGGTGACATGCAGGACATGAACGGTACATACGTAATTATTTCCTACTTCTGTGATTTGGGTTCTATTATGAAACACTTCTCCTTATGCAAATGATAATTCATATCTTATGTTTCTCCATTTCACCCAATTTTCTTTAAACTAGACCCAGGAGAGACAGTCCCTACCCTCCCCATCGACGACGAGGAAGGCCCATCGACCCATGACGTCACCGAGGTGGATGGTATGTGCTTTTTTTCCCTTCACTAATCTGATTCCATGACTATGTGGCGTTGTTCACACAAAACCATTTCACTAAACCGTTGAAATGTTTTATATGGGTGCTGCCACAGCGTTGCCGGCACAAGTGACCGTACCGAAGACGGGAGGCCATGTGGGCAACACAAATAGGCGACGATCGACTCGTATTCGACGTCCTACACCACCTACCCGGACGCCATACACGAGGGGAAGGGCAAAGAGAGTAAAGAAATGAGTGAGTTGAAGTAGTTTGGTAAGGTTTGACGTAGTAGTAGATACGTTGTTGGTAACAAAGACATGCTTCGAATTTGGTTTGATTTTTGGTTTGATAAGTTTGCTCACCCATATTGTTGGACTGATTTTTGAATTTGGTTTGATTTTTAGTACAAGCATGGGATGGTATAGTCGGTACATTTTGGGTGTATGCGTTGACGACATAATGCATATGTTGTTCCTGAAATATGCTACAGGTTAAACTGTCATTTGTAGAGTACATATCCCTTTGCTATAATACATGTTTAGTGCAAGCATGGGGTGGTAGTGTCGGTAAATTTTGTGTGTATGCGTTGACGACATAATGCATGTCTTCTTCATGAAATGTGAAAGGGTACATCAACATCATAACTAAAATGAATATATCATCATTCTTATACATACCAGTCATATGACTTGTCAACACGAACTGACGATTTTTCCTGTTAGAGTCCTTACAAAAATTTGCACATGTACTCGCAACCTCAGTATGAAGTACAGAGTTGACTCTTTGTCAGGTGGGATTCCTTCCTTCTCCTCAATTGTAGCTTTAACATTATCACTGGTGTCGAAGCTTTCACCTTCACGGGTTATTGTCTTCGGGTTTTGACAATGATCTGCCTGTGAGCACCAATCCTCGACACGAACTGCAGTGTGGACTCCTTATGAATTTTATAGTCGCCCGAACTAAGGCCATCCGAAGCTATTAACCAGCGAACATGAGCCTATGTGTTGGTCTGGTGCGATTCGTTCGTTGTCTTGTATATTGGCTTCACCATTATATTTATGATATGTATTGTTTATGAACCCTTTCACATATCATAAACAATACAGGCCATAAATATATTGACGTGTAGATTGCCTGCACGTTTTCTACTCCATGGGTGAGTACATTTTCTGGTTCTTACGTTGATTGGATGGATAGTTACGAACTTGCTCTGCTCTGTCATTTCAGTTTACTGGACACCTGATGCAGGTAGGCAGCTGATTAATTCGGAGGGATTTTTTTGTCACATATCAAAAACATTTCATCGAGCTGTGATGATGATTTTTCGTAGAATGATGAAGAGGTGTAGTTAATAGCACCAAATAACACTCAAACGGATCCAAACCTGGGTTGATGCCTGAACGTGCAACTGTGGAGACGATTACATCGTATCAGATATGATGTAATCGCTGATTATGTGAACGGGGTTTATCAGATTACTCCAATTCCATATGGGGATATGGTTAAGTGGAACGCACATTCAGACATGACATTCGTTTGTACTGTAATTAAGTTGATGTTCATCGTACTTGATGAAGTAGTAGTATTATGTAATTTCATTTCTTTGGAGTTGAAGGTGTTATACCTGCAAAAATGAGTCATGGTATGAAATGATCTTCTGTGTAATGGAGTGTGGTCGAACGATCGAGGACAATGATTATTGTAAAAGTCGCATTATCGTAGAATGAAAAAGTCAGTGTTATCTTTGCTTCGTTGGCCCCAACATTGCAACCAATGTATCTTTATTTCGAAATGCGTTTGAGTATAAATTCGCTTGTTCGTAGAAATGAAAGTTTATTTTAAAAATGGCTTGTAAATTCATCCAATGTTCATCTTCATTGACAGGGACATTAATTTTATCAATTTTTCATGCAATTCATTTGATTTAGAATTCAAAAACGGTATTCAATTGTGACTAATGAGTACATAAATTCTGTTAAGTAATGTAAGTACAAATACATTGCAGGAATGTTGCCATTGCAGGTATTGCACATGGGTACAATTTAGTCATAATTCTCACCATTTATGGACTGCATTAAAGTACACTTACACCCTTAACCATCACACTAAACCATCACACCAATGGTCAATCAAGTGTTAATTACAAATGAAATGGTGGTTGGTTGGTAAATTGGTTTAAATGTTCTCATTTACCTCCAGTATAAAGCAAGGCTTGCACTCTTCAAGTGGGATATATGAAACTCTTTCAGAGGCATCTTGTAGCAGGAACGTATCAAAGTATTTGAAGTCTGTTTCTTCGTATGAAAATAATAGCTCTGTTTCTTCGTACGAAAATAATGGCATCGTCCACGAGAAGCAATTCACCGCTGGCACTTGAGGAGCCGATGCTGACACCCGGTTCCACCCCGCTATGTCCCATCGTAATTTCTTCGGACGATGACGAAGTGAGTTCGAATGGTGGTAGAAGAGCCATCACTGTCGTTCCCTTTCCGAACCTGGACGAAGTTGCAACTGATGAAGGTGAGTCTCCGAGAAATGTGCTTGAATGGGTCCTCCCATTTATGGATGCAGACAAAGATCAATGTTACGAGGATGAGGGGCAAGGTCGCGTTCCATCGCCCGAGGTAATTGTCATCAGCTCGGATGATGATAGTGCGGAAGAAGGTTTAAGTGTTAGCTCCGAGTGAAGAGTCCAGCTTTGTTGCGTGTGTGGGTTTCTATGTATGTATGTATAGTGGTTTTTGTAACGGATGGATTTTGTGATGCTTAACCAATTCTATAGCAAGTAGGAAACTCCGTTGGCAAGTTATGTGGTTTTTGTATTTTGTTAAGCGGAGCGTCGTACAACTGTCGAGAATGGCAGGCATCATCTGTCGGGAACGACAGATGAAGTGTCGGGGTTTATTGCCAAATTTTCTGTGTATGTAGTATGCATATTCATATAACATGTAGTTTGGGTGTACGAACACAACCTAATGTGTACATTGAACGTAGTTTCTGAACTTTGCGGACAGTGTTATGCGCTACAAATGATGTGTTCATAATATGCATTTCAAAGGAAGCTTCTATAATGGATGAACTTTTCATATTCCGTACATTCTATTTACATGTGTCAACAATCGTAACAATGTTATGCATAAGAAATTTGTATTTTGGTTCGAGACAGTTATGCAGTGCGATGTGTCTATTTGCGTTCTAGAAATGTTAACATAACAAAGAGTAATGTTTACGCATAAGAGAATGAAAATATTCATAGAATATTTACATTGTCGTATACAAACAACAGTGGGGGAACACTTCACTTACAATTTCAACCAGTCACGTACAAAATGCTGCTTACATCGGACGTGGTACAGTGTGGTTCGAACATGTGGTCCGGTTATGACCAAGTTCACCGCAGCGAGTGCATTTCCTGAGCCGTGTGGTGTACTCGTGTCTGGATCGCTTACGTCGTGTGGGTGGTCTACCTGGAGGACGACGCACACTAGGGGGCATAATAGGAGTACCTGTAATTTCGAGTGGAACATTCCAGTCCTCTTCACGCTGAATAGGATATATAGCTTCTCCGTAGGCACCCTTCCAGTACTCGGATGTGTAATACAGTGAGCAGAGATCGTACAATGACGTACCTCTCAAGCAAGCAGCACGGGTTGCATAAACGCACGGCATACGATTCAGCTGGAACTCACGATAAGTGCATGTCTTTTCCGAGAAGTTTACGATGTCCGTGTCGTTGGATATTCCAACTTTGTTAAGTTATTTATCAACCTATGCGCTCGCAGCCTAGTACCTGCTTCGAACGTCGTCCGTAACTCATTCTCCATCGTTGGTGACAGAACGGTGTTGTATGCGGTTGCACTTGCTCGACGTTCATAAAACCACTTATGCATAGTATGTCAAATGTGTTCTACTAAGCACGTGATCAGTAACGAACGGGCATATCTCAACATTGAGTTCAAAGATTATGCGTTGTTGTTCATCAAAATGTTGTACCGTTGGCCAACAAATAGTGCACGTGACCAAAATGGGAAACCTGCTCGCTCCAAGTACCCGTACGCTCTTGCACTAACCCTACGAAGCTGTCCCATAAATCTTTCAAACTCTTTGGTTTGGTAAGTTCTTGCAGCTCTTTTGAATAGAAATATTGAACTTGCGTTGTTGTACCGCTAGATTAAATTCTTTTCCATAAGCCAAACACAGCACCCGTGGTGAGCCCGAGGAAATAGGTGAGCAATGGCATTTTCAATACTATTTTTCCTGTCGGAAACAAACACCAATTCGTCCGAGTCACCTATAAGATCTTTCAAATTTGATAAAAATCACATCCACGATCTATTCGATTCGGCATCAACAATCCTCCACGCTAACGGATAAATCTGTTTGTTGGCTTCTTGGGCAGTTGCCAATAGAAGGGTACCTTTGTACGGACCTTTCAAGTGACTGCCGTCAACACAAATAACGGGCCTCATGTACTACAAGTAACCCTGAATGCTTGCACCGAAAGCTAGGAAAAGGTAGTGAAACCTGTTACAAGAATCTACTTAGATGTGCGTTAGTGTCCCGGGTTACTCTCTCCTAGGACGTGACAGTACGAAGAAAGTTTTTGAAAGCTATCACCCAGTGTACCCTGTAGCAAATGTAAAGCAACGACCTTTCCACTACGGGCTTGATGGTAACTAATTTTCACACCAAACACACGTTCCATGTCACGAGCAATAGTGGTAGGATCATACGATCCGTACGTATAATCCAATTTTTCCATAATCTGCTCAACAATTACGGAACTAGTGGCATGTCGATGTGCATTACGACGATAATCTATGGAACATGTGTGCACATTGATGAATTTGCGGATCATGAAGATGGCGGACTGCTTCACACTCGAAGCACGTAACATCTACTTACAATTATCGTCGGCACATACAACGGTTAACATTTTTTGGCTTGACGTGCTAACCTGAAATTGAAACTTCTCTCGCAACGCAAGTAGACGAATTCTCGAGTACAACTCTTTCTTGCTAAAAAATATTTCCCTTTCGGTAAGATCCGGCGTATTCACAGTGGAAATTCAGTCGCATGTATCCGGACTTTTGAAATGTGATAATAGTTCTTCGTCAACGTCAACAATATTACCAGTATTTGTACCATGTAAGGGATCGTCGAACATCTCATTTAATGGTGCAGTCCGAACATCAAAAATTGGAGTATCCGTTGCATTATTGTTGGGACACTTTGCTGATGATTGACGTCGTCGTCCTGTACGGTGTGGTCATCTTCCACTGCGACGAACAATTGTCGGCTGTAATTTGTATCCCTTTCCATTTCAACACTTGGCAGGCCGGTTTCCAAAGTCGTAACGCAGAGGACAGTTTCCTTATGAACTGATATGTACCAATTTACGTCTTCATCTTCGAGTATTTCGACCGGCGGTATATTCATGTTCGAAACTTTGAACTTCAATTCCAATTTTGTGCGCGGATCGAAAACACCAAGTTTCTTGTTCAACCGTAACAATAGCTCCGGTAGTGTGATACTGCTCGGCACTAAAATGGAAGTGGTTTTCTCCCCAGTCCACTTCCATTCGTCATTCACGTAAACAAACTTTCCCCCGTGTGACACGATGAATCTCAAATTATTGTTCATACATGAAATGTTGGGAATGAAATGATAAGAATTATGCGCAATCAAAATGTCGACTATATAATAGCATGGAAGTGACACGTTCCAATATTTAAACCTATGCAATACTACAAGGTCAAATTAAGGGTGCCAAGAATTTTCAGCTGTCCAATTCGACAGTTTACTTATATATCCCGGCAGTTTATAAATGTCGGGTACGACATTTCAAATATCGATCCCGACATTTTCGAAATGTCGAGTTCGACGGTTCGAGTGTCGGAACTGTCGAGAAGTTTCAAATGTGTTTGGTAGCATTAATGCTTATAATCATTTCTTCGACTACAACATCACAACCTATTTCCAGAAATAAATGACTGAATGCTTCATTAAATATGGAATACTTCACATTTTTCTAAATATTTTGGGTATATTTTTCCTTCAACAATATTAAAAAAACAAGACCATCATGTTGTTTTTAACATTCTAAAAAAAAGTAAGCTATTACATAGAAATATAAACAATTCGTAACAACTTACCTTTCAAGATAGATGAAGAAGATGGTTGAAGTAATGTCTTCTTCAGGAAGAAGAAAATGAATGAAGAAGATAATGAAATAAGGCTTTCTTTCACAATAACTTTGTTTTTTAATGTTAACTAGGGTTTAGAAGGATTTTATATTCATTTTTTATTAACTAAATTCGTATTTTACAATATAATATTCATATTTTCAATGATTATAATATACAAAGTACACAATCAAATCACAACATTAATTGTTTTGAAAACCAATCATGAAGGAGCATTAAATGCTCCAAAGAAGTCAAATTAAGGGTAATTTAGACATTTGACAACAAGAAAGTGACATTTTTGTACAAATTGTGTGCACATCAAAGTTTTTTGTGCATTTTCAAAAAAAGTGACATTTTGGTAAATTCCCCATAAATATATTCTGTGGATGATGAACTCGTATGTAATTACGATGGCTGGAGAATAAGTTCACTGTTTAGGCTTTGCACTTTCCAAATTTATACAAGTAATCAAAAGCTTTTGCTACAAACATTATATTGTTATGTTGTAAAATTGTGCCATTTTACATATATACTGCCTAGTAATATATGTAATTTTTGTATGAGCAAATTTTAGAATAATAATTAGAGATTAGCAAAAGCATCATTATTATGCAAAATGTATGTATTAAATTGTTTAGGATCACATATAGGAAAATGACATTCATTGTAATTGATCATATGCTATATAATAGTTTTTATCCCACAAGAATTTTATGACTAATTAGGTAAAATATCAAATCATAATTCTTAATTTACCCACAGGAATTAAGAAAAGTAACATAATATGATAGTCTTATTGTAAAGATAGGTGAATTTAATTGAATTAAAACTTTAGCCCATAGCCAAGTTTTGTATCATTAAATTCATAATTTCTGGAACATGATTTACATTGGCAAAACATTATATGGTCTTGTTGATCTCAAATTTATTTATGTAAGCATATATATTTAATTTTTATGCAGTCGTGCAATCTGCAAATTTTTTTGATAATAAATGTGATATTCCTGAACTGAAAGGGAATAACTATAAGATGTAGAAGGAGAGAATTCTCCTTCATTTGGGGTACATGGACATTGATTATGCTATAAGAAAGACAAATCAACTATTATTGCAACTAGCACTCCAGAAGAAAAGTCTCTTTGTGAACAATGGGAGCAATCTTCTCATCTCAATGTGATGTATATAATGATTAAAATCTCTGCATGCTAGTATTCGAGATTCTATAGATCAGCATGACAATGTTTAGTGATAAATTAGGTGATTTTTAAAGTTCATTGACCTCGTGGAAACCTTTTGCAAAGTTCAATGATGAATTGGATGATTTTTAAAGTTCAGTGACCTCATGGAAACCTTTTACAAAGTTCAGTGACCATTTTGATAATTCACTCCATAATACTTGGTGAATTGATTCTGCTACTACAATTCATATTTCAAATACCTTGCAAAGTATGCGAAACTTAAGGAAACCAATGGGAAGTGAGCAAAGCATCTTATCGTGAAACAAGATGGGTTCACATGTGGAGGTTATTGGAACATGTGATTTAGTTTTAAATAATGACTATGTTTTAGAATTAGAAAAGACATTTTATATTTTGAGTTTTTCTAGAAAATTGATTTTAGTTTCAAGACTTGTACTTTTGGGATATTCCTTCACTTTTTTCATATTCATCTTTCAGTTTGTTTTATAAATGTGATCTTATTGAGAATGGTATTTTGTCTAGTAGTCTTTTTTCTATTAATTTAGAACATAGCACTACTAACAATTTTATGCATGTTTACAATAGTAATAAACATTGTATTATTCATGAAAATTCATCTACATTGTAGCACCGGATATTGGGACAGGCCTCCAGAGATAGAATTAAGAGATCAACAAATAATGGAATACTTAATACTTCAGATTTTGAAGCTTGTGTGGACTATATTGGGGGAAAGCAAACCAACAAATCAAAAAAAGGTGCCAAGAGGAGTATAGACATCTTGGAGATCATACATTCAAATATCTATTGTCTAGACATGGATGCTCATGGTTCAAAATACTTCATCTCCTTTATAGATGATTATTCACAATATATGTATCTTTACTTGCTTCATAACTGCCTTTAAGGTTTTTAATGTAGAAGTCGAGAAACAATTTAATAAGCGAATAAAGATTGTGAGAATGGATGGAGGTGGAGAATACTGTGGTAGATACACTGAGGATGGACAAGCACATGGTCTATTTCTGAAGTTTCTTGAAGAGAATGGGACAGTTGTCCAATACACTATGCTTGGTTCCTCGAACCAAAATGGTATGTCAAAAAGAAGAAACCGAATATTATCGAACATGGTGTAGAGTATGCTTAGAAGTTCCAAGCTTCCTAAATCCTTGTGGACTAAAACTCTTAAAATAGCCGTGCATATATTGAACGGAGTTCAAACCAAGCATGTTTTAAAGACACTTTTTGAACTATAGAAGAGTTAGAAACGGAGTTTGCGACA